TGCCCTGGATCTCGCTCTGTAGACCAGGCTGGCCTCGAACTCACAGAGATCCGCCTGGCTCTGCCTCCTGAGTGCTGGGATTAAAGGTGTGCGCCACCGCCGCCAGGCCGTATGTATTTATTTATCTAGTGCATGTGTGGGTGTGCACATGAAGTGGCAGGAGTGTGGAGGTCAGAGGACAGTTTGGAGTTGGTTCTCTCCTCCCAGCATGTGGAGCTACTGAGCTCAGGGAGTCGGAGAGCAGTCAGATTCGGCCGCAAACTCCCTTACCCTCTGGGCTATCTTTCTGGCCCCCAGTTCTTTAATGTTAAACAACATCTTGTCTTCAGTGTTCTCTCTCTCTCTCTCTCTCCTCTCTCTCTCTCTCTCTCTCTCTCTCTCTCTCTCTCTCTCTCTCTCTCTCTCTCCTTTACTCTATGCTTCTACTTTTGTCCCTTTATTGTCAGGGTTTAAGAGCCTTGCCTTATTCTCTGCACGGCCCCCTCTTGGAACATCACGATGTTCTTTTCCAGGCACAGTATTTTATGCCTTAGAAATATGAAGATTTCTCTGCTGCCTGCTGCCTCCCCTCCCCTCCGCCCCAATCTCCAAGTCCTCTTATTTCTCAGCTTCACCTTCCTCCTTCACATGGAGGGATGCTGCTACTTCTTGAGCACTGCGGGCGGGAGCTTCACGGGCACGAGGTGGGCTTGTGGACCGGATTGCCTGAGTAGCCAGCAAAACAGTGATCAGCCCGAATGCAATGGGGCAAACCAAATTCTAGTGAAGTTAACATTTGGATCCAAGCAAAAGGCTAGATCTCTAAGTCTGAACTCTTGCTCATAACTTTTTGAATATGCAGCCTTGACCTTGAGGTAGAATATATCCCTTGGCAATGCCTTGTGGCTAAATCCCAGAGTCCTAGGTAAAGAGTGGGACAGAAGGAAACAGGCCAGCTTTAATAAAGCAAAAGAAAATAATTTTTTTGGCTTTCTATGCCTGATGTCACGCTCAGGCTGGAGTGGTAAAAAGTGGGTGGAATGTACCAGAAATCCCACCATTTGGGGGGCAGAGGCAGGAGGCTGTCATTTGAGGTCAGCTTGGGCTACACAATGGGAAAGAAAAGAAAAAGGGAGAATGAATGAATGAATGAATGAATGAATGAATGAGTTGCTTTGTCACAGAGGACTGAAGGGACAAGGAGAAGGCAAAGGGATGGCCAGATTGTGTTGAGCCAAACTTCAACTCGGACTCACTCAGTCAGATGCAGGGTCAAAGGTCAGCCTGGAGGTCTTGTCTCAGGATTTCTCTTGGGCCTAGTGAGAGCTCTACCAGGAGCACATGTGCTGGTTAGTATTTTGGCCATTTGACACAAACTAGAGTCACTTGGGAGGATGTAACCTCAGTTGAGGCTTTTCTCCATTAAGTGGCTTGTGGGCATGTCTGGGAGGCAGTTTCTTGATTAATTACCGATATAGCCCAGCCCACAGTGGGTGTTTCCATCCCTGGGCAGGTGGTCCTGGGGTGTCTAAGAAAGCCGGCTGAGCAAGCCATGAGAAGCAAGCCAATAAGCATTGTTCCTCCATGACCTCTGCTTATGTTCCTGTCTCAGTTCTTGCCTTGGTTTCCCTCAATGATGGACTGTGATGTGGAAGGGTAAGCTGAAATAAACCTTGCCTTTCTTAAGACACTTTCGGTCATAGTGTTGATCACATTAACAGAGAAGCAACAAGGCCCCTGAGCACGTGGGTGATGCTTACAAAGTTCAAGTCTGTCTGCCTGCCTTCAACCATAGGGCAGAATGAGCTTGTGCTATGCCCCTTCTCATGGGGTGCTCTTGAGACATGGGGTACGCCGTAGGTATATCTGGAGTCTGGGACTCCAGCTAGCCTCTGAACTTTCAACTTTAGTTTCCCTCTCTCTGATGTGGAGTAACTACCA